CTCCTGTGGGAGCTGCGGGGCCCAGCGGCGCCGGAGGCAGCGCTGTGGCGAGGATCACGCTGCTTACCCCACAGCCACCTCTTGGCAGAGCTGAGGGCTTTCTCTAGTTCCACGCTTGGCTTTAAACCAAAACCTCATTCATGTCCCGTCAGCTGTTTTTAACAGGTTACTTGGCTTGTTTAGGGCTTCCCTGAGCAAAGCTTACGGCTTCTCCGTGGTGGTGGTGGTGGGCAGTGGGCGGGGAAAGGAGAAGTGTTTGCCCTGGTGGCCCGGTGAGCGGTGGCCGTACTTGGTCTGAGCCTTGGTGGTGTTGTCAAAAACTGGTCCTGGGTGGAGCAGCACAGACTGAGTGGTGTAGAAGGCTCATAAGGAGAACTGCCTGCTGTCTACAGCAGCTACTGGGAGGGCATGGAGAAGGCAGAGGCAGACTCTTCCCAGGGGAGCACAGTAGCAGGATGAGAGGGAATGCACAGAGCTGCAACATGGGAAATTAAGTAGGTATAAGGATAATATCAGCTCAGGGGTTCTTGCCTTTTGGAAGATCTCACCTGGGGACACTGGCAGCATCTGATTGTCCTCTGGGACCTTTAGAGCTACAGCAGGTTCAGAGGAGTTTGTTAGCTTGAATTCTGCATGGCTCTTCAATTCTACTGTGCTTGCCCACCCAGATCCTCATGCAGTGGGATTTGTTTGCTTGCAGGGCAGGTCAGTTCAGAAAAGGGAGAAATTATAGTAGTCTTCACAAGTAAATTGGGGATGGATGGAAAAGTGCTTTTTAGGTGATACTAAAAGTAATTTGTTCTGCTGATCAATTAGGAATGTTGAGAAACATCTTGAGTTAGTGCTGGGGTGTCACCCAGCTCTGATGGAGCTCGCTTTCCTGCCTGCAGGGTGCTTCAGCTGGGGTAAGTCTCTGCACTCCGAAGTATCATCTGTTGAACAAGATTGTTCCTGTTACTCTGGGTTTCAGTTCACGTGTCTGTGATGGAAGAGGGTTTAAGCCA